ATGTTTCATCAGGTCTTGTGCAGATTCTCCGGCAGCGAGGGGAGTAACGAAGCCAGATGGGTCGTTGGGTCGTCGTCCTCCGCGCTGCAGTCCTCGACAGGCAAACCGTGGGAGAGGCACACATGTTGAGCTGGCGTCAGCTGCCTGACAGAGGGAGTTCTTTGTCTCCAAGGCAGGTTTGCGGCCTTTAATCCCTTGGACATGCTATGTGCTAGCAGCGCACGTTGTTGCTAACTGCGGCTGCCTGAAAAACACATTGGTGGGCTCGATTTGAGAGCGTGTTCGCCGTCTGGTTCGGGTTCCTCCGGAGGGACGGGACGCTGCTCCGGCCTGGGCAGCTTCGCTCCGGAAGCTTCCGCGAGGCTTGGCTCCAGGAGGGGTTACCGAGGAAAAGCCCCGCTCGGTGAATCCCTCAACTCTGGTGATGGGAGCGGACTGGGGACCGACTCCTCTAATCTACCAGGAAAGAACCGTCTGCGGCCTCGCCCGTGGAACGTCCTGTTGGAACGTGAGGCCGTATGGATCAAGACGGTGAGCCACAGTGGAGCCCAGTGAAAAACAACCTTCCCGCCGATCATCCGAACTGGCGGGAAAAGGCGAGGGACGTAGAAAAAAGGGGTCCCTTCATGTCAGCCTCCTCCCGGGTTCCGCCGGGCAACCCCTGAGGGCGCTGTCGGCCGGGAGCGGTGTGATCGCCGATGCGAAACGAGGTGGGATGGGGTGAGCATTCACTCAGCCCCCCTCCACCTACACTACGCTCCCCGGGAGGGAATGAGCAGCGGGGGCTGCAGCTGAGCACGCCTTGCCCCGGAGGAACCATCCGGTTCGCCCCGAGGGTCGGCGATAAGAGGAAAAAACACAAGATGGCGTTGTCCAGCGTGTAGTGACCTGTCACTGGGAAATGTTCCACGAAGCTTACCTTGGAATAAGACTGCTGTCATCTTCTCCTCGGGGAGGAGAACTCACCGGACGACCGGAGGTCGACTGCCGGGCCCAGCATCCTTCACAAGGTTGGTCATTTACACAACTTATCTTCTTTGTTCTTCTGACAGTGCTATATTAGCTCGCTGAAGAAAAAATGGGAGCCGATTTCCCGCTCTTAACGTAATTTATACGGACCGGGTGGGGCCCACACAGCAGGTGGGCGTGGACTAATTTTTTCAGTGCTTATGCTCTGCATAACGGGATAAACCACTAAAGCGAAGGCCTTAAAGGGCGAAGCTTATACGACATAGAACTGCTCCGACATGCAGCCACCTGGAGCGGAGCAGCTCTAGAACTTCACTGGCTCCCTGCGACCTGCTTCTCTTAGCCGTCGGAGATTGAATTTAAGACAACTGGCAGCTGTGAGAAGGACGTCTTTGTCGTCCAGCACACCGGCAAAATGAGTCTGGTTAGCCTGAAAAAGATAACTGGTATGTTCGGATATGTCCACAAGGCCTACTGTTTATTATGTAATTAAATTACTTGCAAACTTTGCCTAATGTGGGATCAATATTATGGATTTAATTTTGTTTCAGGATTCTTATTGACATTTGTATTTGTTTTAATTATTTTTTTGCGATGATAATGAATATACTGTACAAGGTACAAAAATAGTGTGATGTAAGAAATGTTAACTAGCTTACAGATGGAACATACCGTCACTATAGCATGTGGAAGACCTGCAGTCATCCTGGAGAGTGAATGTTTCTCAGCCAGGGTCTTCGGCATCAGAACTTCAAGTGTGGGCAGTAAAGTCCCATAAGGACAGTCACCTTGTTAATCCCATGCAGCTTCTGTTACCGGCATTATGAGTCCAAATATCCACGGCAGTTGACACAAAGTCGAGCTCCTTCAGTGCAGCCTTCAGATTTCTCTGCATACTCCTCCTCCAGATACGCAGTAAAAGCTCCTCTGTGAGGCAGCTCGGCATTTACACTGGTGGGGATTGGATTTATTATGGCACGAAACTGAAGGCGAGGCAACCGTGTTGAAGAGCAGCATTTCTTCTACTACAAACCATCCCACCAACTTGTTTAACTCTGGACTGGTTTTGCACTGAAGTCAAGCTTCTGTTGTTTGGTGGTGGTGGACTTCCTGTCCCAGCTCTCTGCTTCAAACCGCCTGGCGGGGCTTGCTCCATCAGTTTGACTGTCCATGCTGCAACTCCAAATGTTTTTTTCAGATTTGATGTGATGTTGAAGCTAGACAGCACTTTCTCTCTAGCACAGAGGGAACAACGAACCTTCATATTGTCATCCTTCGCTGACAGAAACTCAAAATAGCATAGCAAAATAGTATTTTTTGTGAAGGATGACTGTAGTGTCAGGGTAGTCCTTGAAGTCTGCAGGTACATTTTTACATATCTGCTCTTCAGGTATCAGATCCTAATTGAGCTGAGTACTGTCAATAAAAGTTGCTGTGATAATACAGCTGACTGTGGACTGATGGACACCGTACCAGTCAGCAAGGTCCCGTTGCTTGAATCCAAGGGCAAGGTAATTTAAGAACAGGAAGCGCTCATCAATGGGCTGCAGGGTATGGGTTGAGGGAGTGGATTGGATAAATAATCGATAAATAACTGGCAATAACCAACTAACAATTCAATCTCAATTTCACTACCTGTCACACAAACCGTGTAGTCTATGTTCATTATGTGCAACATATATATGTATTTATATATATATGTATTTATATATATGTATTTATATATATATGTATTTATATATATGTATTTATATATATATGTATTTATATATATGTATTTATATATATATATGTATTTATATATATGTATTTATATATATAT